CCGTCCGGGCCTCGCCCCTCCTGACCAAGGGGGGTCCGAGCACATCGGGTCGGAGGATCGCGCCGCATCGCGCCGGCACATCGCCGATGCGTCGCCGATGCCCCGTCGATGCATCGGCGATGCGTCGGCGACGTCGGCGATGCATCCGCGTCGTTTGCGTTGGTAAAATCGGGCCCCACATCGAGCCGCATCGGCGATGCATCGGCAACGCGGCGCAATCCTCCGACCCCATCTGCTCGGACATCATCTGGGAGGCCTGGCCGAGAGGGGCGCCGAGGAGATGCAACGGCGAGCACTCATGAGGGCCAGGATGTCTGCAGGCACAGCTTACGAGAAGGCGGGAAGGAGAAGGAAGAGGGGGGGGGGCAAGAGAAGCAAACGACTCCCGGGAGACCAACTTCGCCCGGGCGGTGGCTCTCCCAGGAGGTTGGGGATCAAAACAACACACAAAAACACACACAACAAAAAACGTGGGAAAACACACACACGTGTGTGTGTTTTTTTCCTACAAACACGTGTGTGTGTTTTGTGTGTGTGCTTTTCCCCACGTGTGTGTGTGTGTGTGTTTTTGTGTGTTTGTTTCCCACAGTGATTTTTTTTTGTGTGTGTGTGTGTGTTTTCCCACAGAGGGTACAGAGGGGGGGGCTGGGCTGGACTCGGGCTCTGCGCCAGGCGACTGCATGCCACCAAATGGAGCAGGGCCGCTCTCGGGCGCCACGAGAGCCAGCGCGTGCCCGAACAGAAGGGGGGGGACCGGCCACTCTCCAGCAGCGCCCTGGAATCTCCGCCCATGCGCTGACACCGTGGAAAAAAAAAAAAAAAAAAAAAAAAAAAAAAAAAAAAAAAAAAAAAAAAAAAAAAAAAAAAAAAAAAAAAAAAAAAAAAACGTGGGAAACAAACACACGGTCTGTGGGAAAAAACACACAGACTGTGTGTGCTTCCCCCCAGACTGTGTGTTTTTCCCCACTGGAAGATTGGAAATGGGCACCAACACCAACACCAGGGGTGGCCTCCAACGGGAGGAAGACGATCCTGGACTTTGGTGCTGGTGGTCATCTCTGGGCCACCTATGGAAGGCCCGAATATCACCCCGAGATCGGGATCGTCTTCCCTCGATGGAGGCACACCGCCGATGTTGGTGTTGGTGTCCACCTCGAGGCCTCCGGCATGGAAAACCACATCTGGCTAATGGGTCGGCGGTGGACAAACCTCCCTTGAATAAGCCTCCCCTTAGTGAACACGGCCTGGGACCGACATCGACGGACCTGGACCCGCAAAAACGACGGCCGCGACGCCCTCTCGCGAACCGGAAACGGCCAATTCGCAAATCGACGTGTCAGGGTAGGAGGTCTATCCACCTCCGAATGGGGCCCTCGAACTCGCGGGAACCTCCCGCAACGCCCCTCTAACGGGGACTCCACTGACGGGTACTTTGACCAGTGACCCGGCGAACCCCACCCTCCCCGACGTGGGCAACGCTGCAATGCCAGAAAGAGACCCTAAACTTAGGGCGACGAGATCTATGCATATCCACTGCTCCTGGCCAGGCCCATCCTGGGCCCAGGAGCTGTGTATATGCCTCCCTGGCCAGGCCAGGAGGGCGTATACACCGCAACTTTCGGCAACTTTCCAAAGTACCCGTTAGTGAGTACCCGTTACGGTGCCGCTGACTCCCGCGGGCAGGCTCGGGCCCGGCCGTGGCTGCGGCCGAGGTGCAGAGGGAGGCCCAGCGGGCCCCATGGCGCACGCGTGCCAGCCCCTGGGCGGGCAGGAGAGCAGCGCCGGGCTCGGAACAACAGCAGGTGTTCAGCGCGAAGGGTCAAGCGGGAGACGGGAAAATTCCACACTGTCCACCAACACACACACACATACAACATAGACCTAAAGGAGGTTTTTTTTTAAAAAAATAGCTTCCCAACCCAACAACATATATATACACATATATATACATATATATATATATAGATATATACATATATACATATATATATAACAATACAAATAATAATAATAATGATAATAATAATGATAATCATAATGATAATAAAAATAATAGTATGTTTTTTGTTGAAACAATGAGGGAGAAGAAAAAAAAAAAAAAAAAAAAAAAAAAAAAAAAAAAAAAAAAAACGCCAGCCGAAATTCGAGACACGTTGACGGTTGATGTGCATCAAGAACTCGAGAGCCCCTTCGCCGAAGGCCACAAGGCCCAACGAGCACGTCAAGGCTGACAGCCAGACCACAGAGAGCACGCCGGTACCCCTTCCAAAGCTGAAGCTGTTCTTACCCCTCGTTCCAGCGGTGCCCTTCTTCTCAACGACCTCCCACGTCCTCCTCCACCACCTCCACCTCCACCTTCTTTGCCACGCCCCTGCTCATCCCCACCCACCGCCTGTTCTCCTCATCCTCCTCGTCTTTCTCTACTTTTTCCTCCTCTTCATCCTCATCCTCTGCCTGCGCCTGCTCCTGGCCCACCAGCAGCATCAGCACCATGGTCACCACGACCACCACCACCACCACCATCATGATCAGCAGCATCATCATCATCATCATCATCATCATCATCATCATCATCATCATCCTCATCATCCTCATCATCATCATCATCATCCTCATCATCATCATCATCATCATCATCATCATCATCATCATCATCATCATCATCATCATCATCATCATCATCGTCAGCATCAGCATCAGCATCATCATCATCATCATCATCATCATCTTCTTCATATTCATCGTCATCGCGATCAGTATCATCATCATCGTCATCATCAGCATCATCACCACCAGCATCATCATCATCACCATCATCACCAGCATCAGGCATCAACATCATCGACATCATCATCATCATCATCCTCATCATCATCGTCATCATCATCAGCATCATCATCAGCCTCCTCGTCCTCATCGTCGAAAACATCAGCATCATCATCATCATCATCATCATCATCATCATCATCATCATCATCATCATCCTCAGATTCATCAGCATCATCATTATCATCATCATCATCATCAGCAGCAGCATCATCATCATCGTCGCGATCAGCATCATCATCATCATCACCACCATCATCACCACCATCACCACAGCCATCGCCATCACCATCAGCACCAGCATCATGATCCGCATCAGCATCAGCATCAGCATCAGCATCAGCATCGTCATCATCGTCACCATCCTCATCATCAGCATCAGCATCATCACCACCATCATCACCACAATGACCATCACCACCATCACCATCATCAGCATCAGCATCGTCATCATCAGCAGCATCACCATCATGTCATCATCATCAGCATCAGCATCATCATCATCATCAGCATCAGCATCATAATCATCATGGTCATCATCATCATCATTCGGCCCACCAGCATAATCGTCATCATCAGCATCATCATCAACACCATCACCGATAATCGTAAATCATGACCATCAATGATACTCATTGTCGTCGTCATCATCATGATCATCATCATAATCATCATTAGTAGCCTCGTAAGCATCATCATCATCACCATGATCATCATCATCATCATCATCATCATCATCGTCGTCGTCATCAGCATCATCATCATCATCATCATCATCATCATCATCATCATCATCATCATCATCATCGTCACCATCATCATCAGCAGCAGCATCATAATTTAAAGCAGCATCGGCATCGGCAAATTCACCACCAGCATCATCATCACCATCATTATCGTAATCCACATCACCATCGTCATCGTCGGCGCCATTAACATCATCGTAATCATCGTCATCAGCATCGTCATTATCACCACCATCATCATCAGCAGCACCAGCATCACCATCCGTATCAGCATCATCATCATCATCATCAGCATCGTCATCATCACCAACAGCATCATCATCAGCACCAGCAGCATGATCAGTATCATCATCATCATCATCATCATCAGCAGCAGCAGCAGCAGCAGCAGCAGCAACATCATTATCGTCATCAGCATCAGCATCGTCATCATCATCGTCATCATCATCATCAGCATCATCATGGTCATCATCAGCAGCATCATCATACTGCCCAACACCTCAAACTGCGCTGGGGGGGGGGGCGCCGTGAGTCGCGCTTTGCAGCCGTCCACGGACAGGCGGTCGAACTTCTCGCACATGTTCTAGGGAGGCGGAGGCAGTCACGAATGCCTCGTTCGTCATCGCAAGCGGGGGGAGGGCAGGAAGGGTGGGGAGAGAGAGAACCGTAACTAGACCGAGGAGGAGTGGGCGACCCAAGCGCGGCCATGGCTGTTCCTCGAGGGGGGGATCCGTAGCCAACCCTGGGGAGCTTGTCTCCTTCTGGGTCAGGTTGGGACCTCGTCCCCGAGAAGGGAGGGCGATGGACCTCTTCGGCAACAGCAGGACCGATGTTCGTGCCTGGGCAAGGCCGAGGAGAAGAAGGTCCTGCTGGCCACGGCGCGCGATTCGAGACGGCCAGCTTAGCAGCCCCTTGGCGTGTCACTACAGGACAGTGTTTGATACATGGGATGTTTTTAAAAATGGGATTAAATGCATGATTAATGTATGAATAAAGTTATGCATAAACTCATCCTTGTATCTATTAATCAACCCTTTATTTTTAATACATGGTCCGCACGCGGAGCATGTATTGAAAGCGGCACTGTATGCTGGCCGTATAGAAGCGGAAGCGGGCCTGGCGACGAGCCCCATGACAGCGAGAGTAGAAGGAGAAAAAACGCCACGAACATAAACTTTTGGCGCTCTGCGCGGATTTCTTGGATCTGCGCTGGACCCCCCTCCCTGGCGCGTGGAGAGCGCCAGGGGCGGCACCAGAGGCGCCGCTGGGGGGCGCAACGCGGATCCAAGAGATCCGCTCGGAGCGCCAAAAGTTTACGTTTATGGCGTTTCTTTCTTCTCCGAGAGGGGCTCGTCTCTCGGCGGTGGACCAACCTCCCTTCAGTAAACCACCCATTAATGAAAACGGCCTGGGACCGAAACCGTTAGACCTGGACTCGAACCGAAAACAGCCAATTCGCTCATCGACGTGTCAGGGTATCAACCTCCAAATCTCGGGAGAGCTGCCAGACTTGGATCAGGTCGGGCATGTCCCCGTACAGGCGGATTTCGTTGAAGGAAAAAATACTAAAAAAATACCCCCAGATGGTCAAAAATAACTACTTTTTACTATTTGTTGGCATTCCTCCTGTAGGGTGACGTGCCCGACTTAAGACTTGGAGCGGAAGAGGCCGCGCCGCTTCGAGAGCCTGCTGCGCGGGCCGCCCGTGCCTTCGTGGAGGCCTCCCTGTGGGGCCTCTCCACCAGCCACGCGAACGGGTCCAGGTGGTCCAGCTGGTCCGTGCCGGGCGAGAGGGGGGGATAGCAAAGGGGGGGTTGCGAATCAGCTCACGTAGCTGAAGTTTCCCGGCGCCTCCCGGCGCCGGGAGGCGCCCATGTGTCGAGGAATGGGCCCAACGGCCGGGCCGAAACCACCTGCATGCAGCAGATTTCGTAACCCCCCCTTTCCCTATCCCCCCCTTTCGTTCGGCCCGACTGGTCTGGGTGATCCTCGGGGATCTCCTGGCCCAGGTCAATCCAGACCCAGGCCAGTCAGGCCTTGCAGAATCCTGCAAGATCCTGCACCCAGACCCGGGTCAACGCGAAGGATCCTGCAAGACCCTGCAGGATCCTGCACCCAAGCCCGGGTCAATGCGACCCTGGCCCTGCAGGGTCCGGTAATATCGGGCGCTCTGGCTGACCCCCGTTTGCATTGACCCCCGTCTCTTGAGCCACGAGATCCAGTGGATCCGGTTCATCCGGCTGATCCAGGTGATCTTTCGGTGGCATCTCATGGGAGCCTCCCGTACCATCTTGTGAGCTCTTGCGAATCGACACTAGTCGACGCCAAATCGAAGCCAACCGACGCTAAACCGACACTTATCGACGCTAACCGACGCTGCATCGGCACTACCTCATCGACTCCAGGACACTAGTCGACGCTAGTCGACGCTAAAGACGAAATTGAGAGGGTATACCAAGCTCACATGATTTGCTACCGAATGATCTGAAGACGAAGCGAGGACGAGGACAAATTCGGGTGAGGAGATAAAATCGAGAATCTCTGAGATAAAATCGAGAATCTCTGGAGGATGTCTCGGGCGCCGCGGCCTTCTCGGAGCGTTCCGGAACGGAGCTGTCCTCGCCCTAGCCCCGTGCGAGGATCTGGGTGATCTGGCTGATCCAAATGACCCAGCTGATCTGGTTGACTGGTTCGCTGATCCTTACCAGCCTCGAACGTATCCCTATCCCCAAGATTGACACGCCAAAATGCGATGACAAGCTTAGGGATTCGCCCTCAAAAAATCAAGGAATCCCTAAGATTGGCATCGTGATGAGGAGGTGCCCAGCATAGGGATAGGGATATGTTCCAGGCTGGTAAGAGCCGGTGATGCAGCGATCCACTTATCTTCTTAACTACAGCTGGGATGCATCCGGACGTCGTGGATCGGCGCAGCGGCCCCCTCCCTGGCGCGCAGAGGCGCGCCAGGGGCGGCGCGCCGGAGGCGCCGCCAAGGGCCCCAGCGCCGATGCGAGAAATCCGCACGGACCTACGAAAGTTCACGTGCACCTAATTTCTTCGTTTCCTGGTGAACGTCGCGGACGTCCCAGAGGGAGGCGTCCACGGGGGAGGGGGGGGAGGCGCGAATCGTGCTCCGAGGCACGTGCACGGCCCCTGGGGGAGACCGGGAGACGCAGTGAAAGAAGAGAAGCGGGCCATGAGATCTGGGGCGGCGACCTGGCCCCGGCCACGAGATCCACACACACACACACACACCTGAGTCATCACACCCCTCCTGGCCGACCCCGAGCCTCCACGAGAAAGTTTACCTGTTCCTGCCATCCTCTGCTTCCCGACGAACGGCCGGGGCGGCATCCCGCGGGCCAGGGCGGGCGAGGCGGCCCGCCCGAGGCGCGACTGCCCAGGGAGCAGCCAAGGTCTCGAGCAGGGACCGACCGTCCCGGCATTCGTATAGACCTACCACGATCTTCTTAGAGCCCAGTAGACTTAGAACATTATTTGGTAGGTCTACAGGTGAGCTACTACCCTCGTCAAGATTAACCTCAAAAGTTGCTGGCACGTCATTTCGATTTCGGCGCGCCCCTCAATGTCGACACGCCGCCCCTTCAATGTCGGGGCGAGGGCAAAGATAGACTGACCGAAGTTGACTCGAAAGTTTGACGTCGACCGACATTGGAGGGGCGGCGCATGCAAGTACCCCGCACTCATCGATATTCGGCCCCAGATCTTCCGACAAGCAGTTCAACGACGTCAGACATTTTTGAGGTTAATTTTGACGAGGGTTGTAGGACGCTTCGCCACTGCTTGAGGGTCGGGGGGCTCCTGAGCGGCGGCCAGCAGGCCACCGAGCTCTCGGCGCAGGCTCTCGGCGCGCCCGCGAGGGGGCCGGGCGCGTCTCTCGGCACGCGCCGGCGCGTGCCGAGCAGAAGCAGTTCGGACTTTAGCCTCCTCCTCCTCCTCCGCCTCCTCCTCCTCCTCCTTATCTCCTCCTCATCCTCCTCCTCCTCCTCATCCTCCTCCTTATCTCCACCTTATCTCCACCTCCTCCTCCTCCTCCTCCTCCTCCCTCCTCCTCCTCCTCCTCTCCTCCTCCTCCTCCTCCTCTCCTCCTCCTCCTCCTCCTCCTCCTCCTCCTCCTCCTCCTCCTCCTCCTCCTCCTCCTCCTCCTCCTCCTCCTCCTCCTCCTCCTCTCCTCCTCATCCTTCTCCTCCTCCTCCTCCTCCTCCCCCTCCTGGTCGTCATCGATGTCTTTCAGGGTCGGTGGCACTGGCCGTCAGGCCTTCACAATATAAGCAGTTCGGACTTTACTCGCCACATGGAGTGAACAAATGGCTGCGTCCCACTGGGTGTTGCGCATCGCTTGCGCTTGAGGCTGCAAGCGAGTCTGCGAGACGCGCCGAGGCAGCAGGACTGGAGAAGCAGGCAGGCGAGGGCGCTGGTGCCAGCTCAACACCGCACGCAAATGCCAGATCCGTGCACCACGTGCGTCCGAAAGAGTAGCTGCGGGGGAATATCCTGAGAGGCGTAATGCGAGATCCCTTGGGCATAGCTGCGGAGACATCGAAGCCCAGGGGGGGGAGAGGAGATGAAGAAGAGAGCAAATAAGAGGGTATATGGGGCAACGCAAAAAGGCGTCCAGATGGCCACGAGCACTGTGCTAGGGACGGGTCATCGCAGCCAGGAAGCAGCCGCACTCTCTCTGGGTGCCCTGGCCAGTTGGCAATCACCCAAGAAGATAAATGAGAAGCTGGACTGGGCAGACTGGGTCAGCGAGAGCTGAGATACGGCCACCAGGGAAGGCCTCCAGAGGCCATCAGGGACCCCCGGGGACCTCTCAAGACCTCGAGGGACCTTCGGGGACCTCTGAAGACCTTGGGGCTCCTCCCTCCTGGGACGATGCTGGTATGTAGTTCAACCTTTGGGGAAGAGAGTGGGGTGTAATCTAAAACCTGGAATTGACAGTTCTTCGAGGTCGTCGTTCCCCATCCTCTGCCCTCGTCGTTTGCCCTCGTCGTCGTCGGCCTGCACAGTTCCACCTGCAAGAGATGTGTGGCGCTGCCCTCGAGATGCCCCCAGTCGGTTCGAGGTCGAAGTCCCCAGGGGACTCCTATATCTTTTTTGTGACCACGAAAAACACATCCCCAATCCCAAAATCGCGGATTCGCCGAGGATTCGAAGATCGGCCAAAGACCTCGGGGCATGTTTTGCGTTCGTCTGTCGTCGTCCTGGCAAAACCCTGCCCCAGAATCTCCCTCCCCGAAGCCTCGAGGAGCCTGCATTTTGTCTTGGCCCTCGCGTTTTTGGGATTGGGCATCTGTTTTGACTTGGTGACGTTCTACGTCACGGTCCTGGCGGAAGAGCAGCTGGCCGACGTTCAGCACCCGGTTGCCCATGCTGAACGCGCTCCTCTTGTTGCCCTTCTTGGGGCACCGCCACAGCTCCTGCGGCCGAAAGCGCGCCGTACTCATTTTTTAACAAAGGAAGTCGGGAGTCTGAGGACTCCGTTATTCAGAAAAGGATCCTAGATAAAAGGGGGCACATGCTCCTCGAACGGGCACGCACGAAACGCATTTGTTGAACAATCGGGGTCGACCCCCCAACTGGACAGGAGGAGAGAGCAATCGCAAGCGCGGGATCGGCTCCCTCGGGCCCCGCTACTTTTTTTCAAGACGAAGGCGTGAGCGCTCCAGAGGCGCCACCAGCTAGTGGGCCCTCGCAGTGCGGCGGGCTAACCGAGCGAGAGGCTGCGTCCCAGGTCCGCGACGCTCTCGCACCACTGGAGCCCCCGCACATCATAGAGGCGCAGGGTAGAGAGGCAGGACCCTGTGCGGGCGAGGATGGAGCCCGCCGCAGGGGCATCCCCTGGAGCTGGCCAAGGAAATCGGCCGAGGGTGAGCCCGAAACAGTAAGGATGCAAAGGGCACCCCTTGAGAAATCACCGCGTCCTCACTATGAACGGCGACTGCGCACACGTCAACATTGGGAAAAGGAAGAGGTGAAGGGGAATTGTTTTCCGCATCCTCGCACCCCATGCTGACACGGACGTCCCAAACGACTGCCGCGAGGTCTTGTGCCCAGCTCTTTGGTTGTGGTGTTTCTCTCTCTCTCTCTCGCACTCTCTCTCTCTCTCTCTTTCTCTCTCTTTCTCTCTCTCTTTCTCTCTCTCTCTCTCTCTCTCTCTCTCTCTCTCTCTCTCTACCAGCACCAAGCGAGTGAGAAGGGATCTCCATATCGATGTCTGTTGGCCATTTGGCCGTAGATCGCGATGCAGAAGAGGAGAGCTGGTCCGGCCTCCGATCGCCGCCGGCCGGATCGCGTCAGTGCCACAGGGCAGAGGCTGTGCACGCCCAGGCGTGGGCCAACAAGGACAGCACGAAAAACAGTATGCCCCTGCGCCTGCGCCGCAATCTCGACGGGTTCGGGCCAGACGCGCCAGCCACAAATCCCGTGGGGTTGAGCCAGACACGTCCGCCACAACTCCTGCGGGGTGCCTCAGGAGGGACCGCACTTCAACTGAGGAGGGAGACGCCTGCTCGCCATCACCTGCGGTCGGCGGCGAGGCACTTCGCCGTAGTAAGCGTAGCGACACCCTTCAGCAGGCGATTGGCATATGCGTGGGAGCTCGCTCGACTTTGGCGCTGCCGCGGGAGAATAGCAGGACACCAACTGTACACCGACACCGAACCAGGCCGATCCAACCCTGGGCCAAGGGGGCCTCAGTGCAGACGCATTCTTCTTGACCTGGCCAGGGCTGCACGTGCACCGATCCTGGGGCACGCAACTGGCGTGAACAGATCCGGCGCTGGTGAACTGGTGAGCGTCCTCGGAGGCGAAGACAAGGATACTTCGTCAGGCAAGGGAAGGATTATGTTGTTCCCATCATACTGAAGCACCACATCCTGGACATAGTTTCGAGCACCCAGAAATATCGACACAGTGTCAAGCGAGTATCGCCTCCCAGGGCCCGATACGTAAAAACCCATCAGTTTCGGTGCTTTCTTGGTGCTCGAAGTCCCACCAGCCCTCTGGGCGACAGGTGGTCTAACGAGATTCCTCTTCCCTCTTCCACAACCCCTTCTTCCCCTTCGGGGAGGGGCTTACCCCTCCCCCTACAGTCGGGTCGTTGACCTAAGGAACCCTAAATAAGGAACGAGGCCCCTTTTCCCCATCAGTTAAAGTTCGATTTCCCATCGAAAACCTAAGGAAAACCTAAGGCAAGCTGTGAAACAAACAAGGAACACGGAGCCCCTCCCCAACGAAAAGGGTTCCTTCTTCAGCGCCCCGACTGTACCCCCTCCCCTGGACCTGGACGGGGAGGTCCGCGAGGGGGTGGGAGCACCCAAGATGGCCCGAGATGGCTCCAAGAGGGCGCCTCCGATGCTCCAAGATGGCCTCCAAGACGGCTCTCAAGACAACAGCGTCCAGCATGCCTCCAAGAGGCCCCACGAGGGCCACAAGACGGGTACAGGTGCCCTCAGGACCTCCCCGAAAAGCCAAAACCCTCCCAGAGACCTTAAGAACATCACCGATGTGTGCATTCTCGCCTTTTCGCTTCCGATGCGCCTCTGAGGCCTCAAGATGGCTCCAAGATGGCCCAAGAAGGCCCCGGCCCCAAAAGCGCCCAAGAGCGCCCCCAGAGGGCCCCAAGAGCGCCCCACGAGACGGTTTTGAGGGCCCCAGACGGGGGACGGAGATACAGGAACCCCTCTTTTGATCGATAGCCTCCAGGATGGCCCCAAGAGGGCCTCCAGGATTCCCAGGAGAGCCCCAAGAAAGCCCCAAGAGAGCTCTAACACGGCCCCAAGAGGGCCCCAAGACGGCCCCAAAAGCGCCCGAGAGCGCTCCAAGAGAGCCCTCCTCCTCCTCCTCCTCCTCCTCCTCCTCCTCCTCCTCCTCCTCCTCCTCCTCCTCCTCCTCCTCCCCCTCCCCCTCCCCCTCCCCCTCCCCCTCCCCTTCCTTCTCATCCTCACTCTCTTAGTCCTCGTCCTCCTCATTATCGTCCTCCTTCTCCTCATCTTGCTCCTCATGCCTCCTTCCTCCTCCTCCTTCTGATCCTCCTCGTCCTCCTGCTTCTCCTCCTTCTCTTCGCCCCCCCACCCCCACGCGGGCCCGGAGATGGCCCCAACACGCCGTCCAGGCCAACCTCCCTCGGTGTTTGACTATGCGTGTCTCTTCCTCTCTCCCCCCGTCAACTCTCATGGGCTTCGTTTCTGGATGGGCTGGTGGGGATACACAGGCGTCAAGAATTCTTTCTGGTGGTCAAGGCTGAGACAAGTTGGAGCATCATAGAAAGGGGAGGAGCGGGGGGGCGTCGGTTTCGTTGGGCCCCCCGTGGGTTCCAGGTCGACCGTCGCCTTGGACGGGTCCCGGAGGAAGTACACGAACGCCTCCCTGAAGAACACGTCCTCGACCGGCGCAGGCCATCGAAGGACAGGGGCTGCGGGGCATCCCCTCCTCGTCCCCTGCTTCTTCCCACAGCGCTGGCCCTGCGGAGGGCGCTCTGACAGGCCGCCTCCTCCTCGTCCTCATCCTCCTCCTCGTCCTCATCCTCCTCCTCCTCCTCCTCCTCCTCCTCCTCCTCCTCCTCCTCCTCCCCCTCCCCCTCCTCCTCGCTCCTCCTCCTCTTCCTCCTCTTCCTCCTCCTCCCCGCTCCTCCTCCTCCTCCTCCTCCGTTAACTTCCGTAGTCAGTCGGGCTTGCGCATTCACTCGCTCACACAGCTGGCGCCCCATTCCGTGGAGTGGGCGGCGATGCCGCGCGAAGCGCAGCACCCCCGCAAAATCCTGGTGCGCCTGGCCTCGGCGTCGCGCACCTCGACGACAGGGACGATGCGGAGCTGTTCACGAAACGGCCGGTGCAGAAGAAGAGAAGACAGCAACTAAACTTTCGGCGCTCCGCGCGGACCGCTTGGATCTGCGCTGACCCCCCCCCCGAGGCGCCGCCGGGGGGTCCCGGCGCGGACCCAAGAAATCCGGGCGGAGCGCCCAAAAGTTTACTTTTGCATGCCGCTCTGTCTCCTTCTCGGGCCGGGCGGAAGGGGGGGATAGCAAAGGGGGGGGTTTGAGAATCAGCTCACGTGGCTGATTTTCCCAGCGCCTCCCGGCGCCGGGAGGCGCCCATGTATCGAGGAAGGGGCCCGGCGGCGGGGCCGAAGCCAGCTGCATGCAGCAGGTTTCGTAACCCCCCTTTCCCAATCCCCTCCTTTGGTCCGGCCCGATCTTCGGTGGTGGAGCACGATGAGGAGGGGAGGAGGGGGAGGCGGAGGAGGAGGGGAAGGCGGAGGAGAAGGATGAGGATGAAGCGGAGGAGGAGGAGGAGGAGGGGGAGGAGGAGGAGGAGGAGGAGGAGGAGGAGGAGGAGGAGGAGGAGGAGGAGGAGGAGGAGCGTGCTGCGACCGCCGACTCTCTGAGGGGTTGCGCCGCCCGCGCCGTGCTCCAGCAAAGGTCGGCGGCGAGGTGCTGCTCGAGGCCGCGGGGCGCCCGCCTCTCGGGCTGCGGCGCGGGCGGGCCAGCTCGGAGGATGAGCTCAGGAGGCAGCTACCGTCGGGGCGTTGACCTAAGGAACCCTATATGAGGAACGAGGCCCCTCTTTCCCATAAGTTAACTTCCATTTCCCGTGGAAGTCCTCAGGACAACCTGAGGCAAACTGTGAAGCAATCAAGGAACACCGAGCCCCTCCCCAACGAAAAGGGTTCCTTCTTCAGCGCCCCGACTATACTGGGAGGTCTTCGTCGGAAGGGCTAAGGAGGATTCAGCCGCATTGGGCGGCTACTGCGCCGGAGTAGGCAGAGGATCGAGCGGGATCGAGCCGCATTCAGTGGGATGAAGCCGGACCAAGAGGCACTAGGCCGGATTAAACTGGACTTCGGACCAGGGAAAATCAGAATTTGACCTCCCAGGAGATGCATCCGAAGAGGATGTGTCCGTGTGGGCCTCCACCAGACACGACGAGCTGGCGAAGGACTTGTCTGCCCACCGCGCCGGCTGGCCAATGCGTTGCGGACGCTGCCGTCGCGCGTGCTGGAAGTGTTGGCTACGGGGCCGCCTCACCGCAACCTCTCGGCAGCCCGTGTCGCCGAGATTTTCTGCATCGCGAACTCCAGGGACTCCGAGAGCGAGGAGGTCATGCCGACGACCGTGGAGGAGGCCACGGCCGTGAAGGTGGAGGAGCTCGTGTCCGCGGATGTGGAGACCAGCGGCACGGGCACCGAGAAGGTCATCTGGTACACAATGCTGGAGGGCGTGCAGACCCCAAACGACACCACGGCGCAGGACGAGTGCGACGAGGACTACGCCGCGCAGAGAAGGGCGATCGCCCGTGCCATGGCTGCGGAGCTCATGAGGCCAGGGCGGCGGCCTGGGCGGCCAGCGCGATGAAGGCCATGGTCGAAGGGCATTCCCCGATCGACACCGCTGTGCTGGATGAGGCCCCGATGATGAAGGCAAATGTTATGCAGGACACGGCCGCTGCGAGGGCCCAACTGGCGACCAACGGCTTTACCCCTGGATGTGGCAGCCATGAGGGCATGGTGGACATGAAGGGCACTGCCGAGCTGACCCCGCTCGTGAACCCCGTGCTCGCGAAGGACGCCGTCGGCCAGGTGATCAAGAAAATCGTGCACCTAAACGTCGTCGACGTGGGTGTGCCGATGGGCGAGACCGTCGACGAGGCGTACGAGGACCGCCCGGTGGTGCGACGGCCTCGACCAGCAGAGCTTGCTGCTCCCGCCTTAGCATTGCAATCCCTCTTGGTTTTGTGCTCCTCTTGGTCTTGTGCTCCTCTTGGTCTTGTGCTCCTCTTGTGCTCCCTCCTGCTCTCTTTCTTCCTCTTGGTCTTGTGCTCCTCTCCTCCCCTGCTGTTGCCTCTATGCTGGCATGCGCGTTGTTTCGGGGCCCCTGAGTCTGTGGCACGCCGCGCACAGAAACATGGCATCGTGACACATCTCGTTGTGCTGTACGTTTCCACAGCAGGAGAGGCCCAAGAAGCGGAGGCTGCGGAGTCCGTACCGTGAGCGGGCGCGCTGCTGCTGCTGCTGCTGCTGCTGCTGCTGCTGCTGCTGCTGCTGCTGCTGCTGCTGCTGCTGCTGCTGCTGCTGCTGCTGCTGCTGCTGCTGCTGCCGCTCTCCTCCCCGCGCCGTCCTCCTCCCTCGGCGTCGGGCGAGCTCTGGGGCGGCTGCGGCGGTGCTGTCGTGCGTGCAGAAAGAAGGTCCGGCCGGGCAGCGGGGGGCACCGACGTCGGCCCGATGGAGAGCTCCTTGCATTTTTCATGGCGGCGCTCGCCGTGCGGAGGGCGGCGGAAGCCCACAGATCACGACCGCGAGGAGAGGGAAGGGGGGAACCCCCCACGAGGCGCGCCCTCTCAGCCAGCTCCGCGAGCGCGCCCCCGAAGCGAGAGGCAGCCTGAGGGCGGCGGAGGCTGGGGGGAGCAGCGTTGCGCCTGCCGAACCTCATGCCCCCGTAGAAGCCTAGCGAGGTCTTCTGGCGTGGACCGGGCGGGCTCCCGCCCAGATCAGGCCCTTTAGATTGTAAGTTTAGCTCGGCCGCGTCACGATCCCACCCAGTAAAAAGATGGTAAACCCAAGATCCCAGGCGTTCAAATATCCCACCACGTGGATCCCACCCACTAAGAATGAGGTTAACCAAAATCCTGGTCCGTTGCAGAACTCCTGCTGCGTTGGGGCCGTCTTGAGGCAATCGTCTGGTCGCCGAGGAGCCCTCGTCAGGACCTCTTGAAGCCATTCTGGGCCATCTTGAGATGGGCTTAACATGATACGCAGGTCGCAGAGCCGTCTGGTCTACTTGCGAACGGTGCTGGACGCATGTTGGCATCGTCGTCAGGTCATATTGAGAGCAGGCCCGGTCATGCTTGGATCACACAATCATCGATGGGTCACTTTGGAGTCGCCTTCGGCTTGCCTAGTTCCATCATCTGGCTATCGGGCCATTTCGGTATCGCTCACTGCTCATCAGCTGGGTCACGCCATAGCCAACCTGAGACTATCAAGAGGCCGTGTCGAGATCATGTTGGGCCTCGGGATCATCTCAGCGTCGCCTGAAAAGGAGAAAGGGCGAGGGAGGATAGAGGAGGAAAGAGGAGGAGAGAAGAGGACATTGCGTGCTCTTGCGAATACTTCCCCATGAGACTTCCCCGAATACTTCGGAGGAACCAAGTATGGCACTGTACCGAGCGTGGTTCGCCTCGACTCGGGATAGTATTGTAAGTGTCTCTGCTACCCCTGCTGATTTAGCAAAGATTTCCAGAGAGCTCCTCCTCCTGCTCCTCCTCCTCATCCTCCCAATCCTCATCCTCGTCATCATCACCATCATCGTCATCATCAGCATCCTCATAATCAGAATCCGCATCATAATTGGTATCCTGATCAGCAGCAGCATCTTCATCGTCTTCATCAGCACCACAATCATCCTTATCACCAGCAGCATCATCATCATAATCAGCATCATCATCATCATCATCATCATCATCATCATCATCATCATCATCAGCACGACAACCATTATCATCATCATCAGCATCATCATCAGCAGCAGCATCATCAGCATCAGCTTCATCATCATCAGCAGCATCATCATCAGCATCATCATCATCATAAGCATAAGCATCAGCATCATCATCAACAACAACAATCATGTTAAGACTGTTCGTCCATATCTGCTCGAGTGTCCAATAATGCGTATTTCCCAAACCGTCGATATCCGCCCTCTTCGTCTTCGATTGAACCCCTTTTGGGGGGTATACCTTTCTTCCCTGCAGGCCGGGCCCCGGCAAGCGGCGGGGCTGCCGCGGACCGTCTGCCTGGCCAGCGGCAGCGCTGATCGGCGGGGCGGCCGCGGACCGTCGACCCGACCCCAAGAGGGACGGACAGGGGACCGACCACGACGACGACGACGACGACGACGTCAACGACGACGACGGCGACGACGATGACGACGGCGACGACGACGACGAGCGAAAGCGAGAGCGAGAGAGAACGACAGCAGGGCCACAAGGACACGAAGTAGGCCACGAACGGCGACAGCGGGGACACGAAGGGAATGCGTATGGGGCCACGAAGAGCGCGAACGAGCGGGTGCCACGCAGGGCAGATAATGCGGGGCCACAGAAGGCAACGATGAGGCCACTGAGGGTAGCAACTGGGCCACGTAGGACAGAGAGGGGACCACAAACGGCGACAGCGGGGCCATGAAGGGCATGCACATGGGGCCACAACGGGCGCGAACGAGCGGGGGCCACGAAGGGCATACGTATGCTGGGCCGCGGAGGGCAAGGATGGGCGGGGCCACAAAGGGCCGCGAGGGGGCCACGAAGGGCTGCAGCGGGGCACGAAGAGCATGCATATGGGGCCACCACGGGCGCAAACGAGCGGGGGCCACGAAGGGCATACATATATGCGGCCACGAAGGGCAGCGAAGGGGCCACGAAGGGATGCAACGGGGCCACGAAGGGCAGCGAGGGGGCCACGAAGGGCTGCAACGGGACCACGAAGGGCTACGACGGGGCCACGAAGGGCTGCAACGGGACCACGAAGGGCTGCGACGGGGCCACGAAACAAAGCGAGGGGGCCTCGAAGGGCTGCAAAGGGGGCACGAAGGGCAGCGAGGAGGCCGAGAGGGGCTGCAACGGGGCCACGAAGGGCAGCGAGGGGGGCACGAAGGGCTGCAACGGGGCCACGAAGGGCAGCGAGGGGGCCACGAAGGGCTGCAACGGGGCCACGAAAGGCAGCGAGATCCCGATTCCTAGGTAATTTGTGAGGGAGTCCTAAGCGTGAGCGCGACTCCTGGGTGCCTGGGTGTCGGGGGCGCGGCGCTTGAGTAAATTGCAGGAAATTCCAACGCAAGGGCGCTATTCTTCAGTAAATGGCAAGCAAGTCTCCAGCGAGAGCGCGACTCCAGGGCCCTGGGAGAGCGATTC